CGCCGGCTAGAGGGCAACTACTGAGTCTGAAAGTAACTTCTGGGCCAGCCCAAGCCAGCTGACTCGACTGAGTCAAAACTGAAACCCAGCCCCTGGATTTCATGGGAATGCAGCACTTCACCTGGGCAGGAGAACCCCCTATTTGCAAAGCAGCACCCCACGGAGACGGGGCCCCTCGCCAGATCCCTTGCCCCGCCCCTCACCCCACCCCACTCCCCCCACCTGAGTCATACTGCAGGAGCAGAGCAGCGAGACTGCGGTGGCGCTTTCCAGAGCTCAGTCTAGCTAAGCGGCCAGATGCCTAGCCGGTGGCCTTGGTCCAGCCCCCAACCCACCCCCTGCCGGTCTCCGCTCCAAGCACCGCCAAATATTTGTTCAAGAGCTTCTGAACCTGAAGGGCATCAGGATCTCCAAGGGCAGGGTATGGAGCCCCCTCCCTGGAGGTGCCAGCCGCGAGAGCACGGAAGAGCAAGGGGGGCAGGGCTGGGAAGAGGGCGGGTCTTAGGGAGACGCAGAGGTGGGGACAGGAGCAACTAGGGATGGCGGGGTTCTGGATTCAAGAAGATCCTGGGGTCAGGGGTCTTGCTTCATCCCTGCCCACCTCTGGCTTCCCACAAGCGCTCAGCCCCACTCTCACCAGAATTAGCACACGGGAGGGAGGCGGCAGGAGGCTGCCCAAGCGAGCTCAGGGAGCTAGCGGGGTGAGGGAGGGGGTCGAGAACCCCTCGCACCTGAGGCCGCAAGAGGAAGTCCATGGCCGGCTAGGGAGAACTCGGGAAGGAGGGGGAGGGGCCCGGCCCACACCCCTTCCCAGTCACGTGCCCGCTGGGCCAAAGTGGCCAATAACGGGCTGATTACCGCACTGGGGGTTAATCATTAGATTTCCCAGGAAAATCGGGAGGGGGCCACGTGGGGCGGTGGCCACATGGGAGCTGGAGGGGCGGGCCTGAGTGGCACGTGGGGCTGGTCACAGCGAGCTTGCTGATCCAGAACCACTGTGCTCCGACCACTGCTGCTGTAAGGCCGGGTCAGAGGGAGTCTCCAGGTTAGAGACCCAGGGTCCCCAGCGTTCCCTAGCTGAGTCTAAACAACCCTGGGTTGTTCAGCAAACAGCCTCAACTCCCACCACAGGCCTGGAAACTGTGACCCTCCACCAATACCCATCCCAAACCCCCGTGCACCCGGCAAGACCAGAGTAGGGATGGCAGCGCCCCTCCGTCCCAAACCTCTCTACACACAGGCACCCTTGTTTGACCTGGTCCTCTGCCGGAGCACCTGTGGCTTGAGAGGGCCGGTGGGACTGCCAACTGGGCGGGCAATACTCACAGTGCAGAAAGAATCTGCGCCCGAGGCGGGGCGCCGGGGGGCGCTGCTCATGGCCAAATCTTAGCCCTTTTCGCTGTCGCTGCGGCTTTCAAGGCAACAAGGCGGCGGCATAACCTGGGAGGGGGAGAGTACCAGTCACCGTGTGAGAGCGGCCGGCCAGCACGGGCGTCCCGGCCCTGGCAGCCCCAGCTCCCAGCCCAGGACAAATCAGGACTCGGGGCTTCCCGCCCGCTGGCCACGGCGCGGGGGCCTCCCAGCTGCGCAGGATCCTCCAGCCTGGGAAGAGCCTTAGAGTGGCCCAAAGAGGCAGAGAAAGCAAAGATAAGTTATTTATAGGAAGAAAAGAGAAGAACAAAAAGGGACAAAGGCGAGGGCTGAGCAGAGGGAGCCACAAAGGGCCAGGCGAGTCAGCAGAGCAGGGGGAAGAAGCAGAAGGTGGGGGGAAAAAATGGGGCGTAAAAGGAGCCATGGGCCAAACCTGAAGAGAAGGCAGCAGAAATCAGGGAGCAGGGATAAGAGGAGGGAGGCAGGGAAAGAAAGGCCAGACTTGAGCCAGAAACAGAAGCAGGAGTGGTGACCAAGTGGTGGCACCGAGGGGGCTGAACCAGGGGTGTGCTCCGGAGAGTGAGACACTCCGTAGGGCAGAGGGGCTAGGGAGAGAGAGAACCCAAAACAGCACGCAAGGGGGCTGCTGAGACCCTGGCCCAGGGCGAGAAGGGGTGCTTGGCTGTGCCCCCTCCCGCGAGGAAGGCCAGATGGGGAAACTTGGCCCCCTGGGGGAGGGGCCGGAGCCCAACTCCACTCACTCAATGGGAGGGAGGAAGGGCCGAGAGCGGGCACAGGCAGGGCCGAGCTTTTAATGGGGGAGGGGCACGTGACGAAGTGGGAGGAGGGTGGGCACAGAAGCCCTGAGGTTCAGCCCTGAGGGGCAGTCCTGATCCCTCCACACCCCTAGTCTGGGGCCAGGAAAATATGAGTGGCTTGTCTGATGCCCTCCTGATGGTGACTGTAGGGGTATGTAGAGAGAACACTATGTGGTGGGGGGAGCCGAAGAGTTGCTGTTAAGGAAACTGACCAGTGCAAATTGGGGTACCCACTCACAGGAAGCACAGGAGACACCCAAAGCTCTTGGCAGGTAAAAATACTGAAGCTCTGCAGTATGTTGTGGGGGTCAGAGGTGCCCAATTTAGGCCTTACTGGGGGGTAAAACAGGCCAGTGCAGGGTAAACAATATAGGTTAGGGGGTCAGCCAGGGTGGGGAGCCTGGAACGGACACATTCCTGGCAAGCATTCCCACTCAGCTGACCGCTGTCTGTAACTCCCTTAGCAGGCCTTCAGCCAGGGCATGTCTGGTGTGGGGGGAAGGGACCCTGGTGGTATGGGGAGGGTGTGAAGGGTCCTGAGCTCCTGCAGGTGCCCCACTGCCACCTCCGGGCTGGGCTCTCAACGTGCACCTCCATCCTCCCCTCCTCCCTCTCCCCCTCCAGGTCCCAGAACACAAAGCAGCTTCTGTCCTGAGCGTCGGTGCGATAATCCGGGGTGGGGGCACATTCCTGGACCAGCCCCGACCCGCCCAGAGGATTAGCATTTCTCCCCCTGCCCAAGGGATTAGCACCCCGGACCCCCACTTGGGCATTAACTACCCCCAAGTGAATTCGTACATTCCACAGCTCTTCCACGTGGGGGCTGGCTAGGGGTGGGGATAGGAGGGCGCAAGGAGGAAGATAAAGTGGACCCTGGATTTCAGACAGCGTCACCCCTCACACCCAGCACGGAGCACCCCATCCAGACAAGCCAGCCCCCCAGGAGGCAGGTCCAACTCTCCGAGCCCCTCTTGCCCATCTCAGCTGCTCCCTCTTCTGCCAGACCCCTTGTCCTGACCTGACCCGCTACCCACCCTTCCAGGCTCCACCTCTCAACCGGAGGTTGGGGGCAGAGGCCCGGGGCAACCCCCAAGACTGGGCGCCCTGCACCGTAAAGGATAAAGTAAGGGGTCGCCGGGGAGGGGTGTAGACTGCAGCCCGCCCGGCGGCGTCTCCCCGAGTCTACCCACTTTGGGTGGCAGGGGGCGCGGCACCCTCGCGTTAGGGGACTCTAATAAGCGGACTCCGGATCGCGCTTCCGACCAGGGTTCTGCACGCCTCCCCATCCTTCTCCCCCAGACCTCGCTTCCCCGCGCCCCAGTCTCCGCCCTTTCCTCCACTTGCACTCCCTCCCCGCTCCGAGTCCCGAGTTCCCCCCTTTCCTTCCCCCTCCCTTCCTCTCTCCGCGGCCCTGGCCTCCCCTGCCACCGCCTCTCCGCTTACCCGCTTGCTCTGGGCTTCGTGCCCCGGGGGTCTCGGGGTCTCTACCCCTTCTCCCGTGCCCTCGCGCGCTGCTGACGACTCCCCTGTGCCCACCTTGGGGAGCGCCCCCGCCACTCCCAACTTCTCCCAACTCAACTTTCCCCCGCGCCGCAGGCAGGCCAGCCCCCTGCGTGCGCGCCCCCCGGCGCACCGTGCGCGGTCCCGCCGCAGCAGGCTGGAAGGCACGGAGCCAGGTCTGAGTCCCGGCGCGGAGGCGCGCTTCCCGGCACCGCCCGGCACCGTGAGCCCTGGGCCGGGGAGGCCACCGGCTGTCCCTCGGCCCGGTCCCGCGAGGCCGCCGCTCCGGGCTTCCCCGCACGGAGCTCGAGCGCCCCGGGGACGCCGTCTCTTGGCCCCAATAAACACCTCTGGGCGGAAAAGGAGCCCGCCTCACGCTGGGGATCCCAGGAAGGAAAACTCAGGCACGGAGATGATTAGAAAATTTGGGACGGTGGAAGTTGAAATATAAATGCATAGGGATCAAGATTCTGTCCCTCCCTCCCCCCCAAACCCCTCCCCGCTAATCTCCAGTGCCTAAGAATTTAGAACTCTGTCTGCCTGGGGGACGGGGGTGGGGAGAGGTTTGAGAGGGGTGATGGTTGCTGGAGGTTGAGTGCCCTTTACCCTAGCGGACCTAGGCTTTCCGAATGGAACTGCTTCCTCAAAGAGATTCCCTGCGGAGACTTCTTTCCGGGAACCTTATTATGGTCATCACTTGTCATTTAAAAGATCTCTATGTGCTTCTTCTGGTTTTCTCAACTAAATTACGGATTCTTCTAGATAAGGGATACACTTTTCGCTTCCTTTCTTTGTTTGCCACTGTGTGAAACAGAACATTTTGTATGCGGAAAACGTTTGGATATAAACGAGTTAATTAACAAATGTTAAGCACCAACTCTGGTTCTGGCGCTGTTTGGAACCGTTTTCGTCCAGCTCACAGCCTTCAAGAATGCAATAATGAAACAGCACCGCAAAAAAATCTGTAATCAACTCCTTAAGGAATGAGGTCAAGGTTCCTTCAAGTGTTGCATCTATCTGTGTTTCTGTCTGAGGGCGGTAACCAACCTGCCGGCCCTCGGCCACACCCAGGCTGATTCCAGTGGGCCCGGAGCCCAGAGGCTGGCAAGGGGGGATTCCCAGTACTCCAGCCAACTTGCCTCGGGATGTCAGAGTGTAGACCAGCTAGAGTCCGGTAGGCTCCGAGGAGACAAACGGGGCCCAGAAGAGAGAGGGGTCTCTGGCGCATGTTAAATCCAGTCTTGAATGGGGCACACCTGTCTCTCTTCCCAGCCCTGAAGTCAACTGCTTCCTGTGAAGTCATCACCAGCAAGACATGGCTCCGAGCCATTCTCCAGTCAGTCCTGGGTCACTAAGATGGCCTGGGGAGAGGTCGAAACCCGTACTGAGACTGTCAGGAGGTCGCTGGAACCTCAACACCATCAGCTGGGTCAGAGCCAGGCCAACTGGGCCCAGGATGCAAGCCGCCAAACCCCAAATCGCAGGTGCGCCCCACCCCCACCCCTACTGCATTCTGGAATGTGTAGTCCCGGCGAGGTCCTTTTCAAAAGGTTGTGATCACAGAAAGGAGTGGGGCACAGTAAGAACCGCGGAACCACCGCGCGGAAGCACGGAAAGCGGATACGCGATGCTTCCTGGGTCTTGAAGTCCAGGGTTTGCCTCCGCGGAGGCACTGGAGCCCGGAGAGGAGAGTGCTGCAGAACCCGAGCGCGGCCTGCTGGGGGTTGTAGTCTTGCTGTCTAAGGCCATGGGCATTATTTGGGAACCTGGCCATCCTAGGACTACAAGACCCATAAGCCCGTGCGCAGCAAGAGGCGGGGCGGGACCGGAGGCTAGGTTGCCGCCTCCTCTGCAACGCTGGGCCGGAGCCTTAGAACCGAGGGCCCATAGGGGTCCCCGCGGCTACCGCCATGCAGAAATACGAGAAACTGGAGAAGATTGGGGAAGGTAATGGGACCACGAGATGTTCCTGCAAGATCTTTTCCTGCAGACCCTTCAGTATTCCTTGCAGCCCTGGCTTCTCTACCGTCAGCAATACCCACAGACTCCGACCTCAGCACTGGCTGCAGCCTTGGCCCCGAGCTCAGGACTCCGTACAGACACCTACCTGAGACCCGTTAGCATTTCCCACAGACGCCGCTTCCACGCTTAGTTCTCTCTGTAGACCCACCTGCCAACCTCAGCACCTCCTGCACTTCCTATCTCTAGCCTCAGAACCACGAGCAGGACCTCACCCACCTCCCAGCCACTGTTCTCGCGTCAGACCTCCAACCGCAACATTCCTGCCTTGTTCCCTTCCCAGACCCCTGCTCACGATTTCCAGACCTTCCTGAAGCATGGCCTTTACTATAGACCTTCATACCCTGCAGCCCCAGCCTCTCCCCACCTCAGACACCCTTGAGCCACCTGCAGGCACCTTTTATGCCACATTCCCACTCGCGAAGCTCTTCCACTGAGGCCTTCATTGTGCATCTCTTCCCTTACTACTCCAGGCATCAGAAATAACACTCTCACGCTTCCTGCTTCCCGCAGGGACTTCCTGGGATGGGGAAGGGTACCCATCCTTTTCCTCACCCCAACCTGTTTCCTGTAGGCACCTATGGGACAGTGTTCAAGGCCAAAAACCGAGAGACCCATGAGATTGTGGCTCTGAAACGGGTGAGGCTGGATGACGATGATGAGGTAAGTCTGGGGTATTGGGGCCAGGGAGGGTGTTGAGGGCCCAGGCTGGGTGGGATGTGACTGTTGCCCACCCGGCCCCACCGCCTACCCATGTAGGGAGTGCCGAGTTCTGCTCTTCGTGAAATCTGCCTGCTCAAAGAGCTGAAACACAAGAACATTGTCAGGTGTGTAGACGGCAGGGACCTCTTGCCCCTGTGGTTAGTAGGAGGTGGAGGGGGCTTCAAAGGTAGGCTGGCCTGATACTGGGATATTAGGCGCACACTTGTGGATCTGCCTGCCTGAGCCCTCCCTTCTCCCTTCTCCTAGGCTTCATGATGTCCTGCATAGTGACAAGAAGCTGACTTTGGTCTTTGAGTTCTGTGACCAGGTGAAAGGGAGGCTTGGGAGACAGAAGCCTTGGGAGGGTGTAGGGACCAAGAGTGAGGTTAAACTGTCTCATTTCCCACACCCCCATCCCTTTTTAGGACCTCAAGAAGTATTTTGACAGCTGCAATGGTGACCTAGATCCTGAAATTGTAAAGGTGAGGGACTGGCATTCTGGGGACTTAGGCTGGGTGGGGGTCTGTATTCAGTGTACACACCCTGAACACCAAGTTCAGGCCCTGAGCGGGGACACCCTGGAGTGTCAGGAAACGAGCAAACCCAGTTTCTGCTCTCCACAAGCCTCCATCCTAGTGAACATTTTCACTTGATCTCTTTGACCTGCTAGTACCACTCTGATGTCAACAATGTGATTTACACTTGAAAGAGGAGAAAATGAGGTTCAAAGAGATACATTCATTCATTCAACACATACTTACGAATGCCTTGCTGTGTGCCAGGCCCTGTTATAGGCCCAAAACCAAGTGCCTTATTCCAGTTCCAAGGAAACAGTGCTGAATACGAACACAGCACAATATGTCTGTTGATGGCTCTGATGTGTGTGCTCACATGAGGGGAGAGAGGGCATGGGCTGGGAAGGGAGGAAGGCCCACCAGTCTCTAAATTCCGGAAAGGCAGGGACCCAGGCCTCCGCTGACTGTACAGTTCTAATCCCTAGCTCAGAATGAAGCAGGTCCTCCGGAGTGAATGAATGATGTCATACTGAGCTTACTGCTGCAAGACGGATGGGGCTTTGAGACAAAGCAGAGAGTGAAGAGGGGGGAGCATCCCCCTGGCTGGGTGCAGCATCCTGTCCAGGGGTCTGATGTCCTCCTCCCTGCCCCCCAAGTCTTTCCTCTTCCAGCTGCTGAAAGGCCTGGGGTTCTGTCACAGCCGCAACGTGCTGCACCGGGACCTGAAGCCCCAGAACCTGCTCATAAACAGGGTACCCCCCCCCCGGGAGAGGGTGGGAGGTTGGGAGGCTGGAGCCACAGGCAGCGGGCAAGGAGGGGAGCTGGCTGAAAGGGGGGAAGCTGGCCTGAGACTGTTGAAAAGCCCCTCTCCATGCTCTTTCCCATCTCCCTGCAGAATGGGGAGCTGAAATTGGCTGACTTTGGCCTGGCTCGAGCCTTTGGGATCCCTGTTCGCTGTTACTCCGCTGAGGTGAGCTGTGGGGTGTGGGGCGGATGTGAGGGAGGGAGGCCCAGTGAGCATCTCTCAGCTCTCCTCCAGGACCCAAAACTTTATTTTCCCTTCCTCGCTGAGCTCCCTCCTTCCTAGCTCTCTAAGTAGGGGGCCCTGTGGATGGGGTCTTCTCCAGGTGGTCACGCTGTGGTACCGGCCACCGGATGTGCTGTTTGGGGCCAAGCTGTACTCCACATCCATTGACATGTGGTCAGCCGGCTGCATCTTTGCAGGTGACACGCTAGGTCTTCTGTAGAGGGGCACTCTCTCCCGTTCGAGTGGACAGCTACAGCTTGGAGGGTCCCTCTAGAGAAGGGGGTGGGACCCTCAGGGATGGAGACAGAAGGCACAGAGGGTGCCTGAGCAGTGAGGGGCTCTTCCTGTGCCATCTCTTACCCACGTCCTCTGCCCCAGAGCTGGCCAACGCCGGGCGGCCTCTTTTCCCTGGCAATGATGTAGATGACCAGCTGAAGAGGATCTTCCGATACCCTTGCCTTCGCCTTCATGGAGCCCCCTGAAAGGAGAGCAGGGAGCCATGGAACTCAGAGTGCAGGGAGGGAGGGTGGCGACGGACTGGGCCAGCGTGGGGGTGCTTAAGGAGAGGGGACAGAGGGCGGAGGGTAGTGGACACCCTGGTGTCACAGGGCAGACGGGCGCGGCCAGCCGGTGTGATTGCGCCCTGCAGCATGAAGGGCTCGTGGAGGAAGCCAAGAGCAGGCTCCTCCAGCCGAGAGGTGGATCCTTAGGATGAAGAGTCAGAAGGAGCAGGGGGATTATCTAGGGCTGTGCGGAGGCTGACTTGTTCATCAGGAGCTCAGGCGTCAGGGTTTAGGCAAGTAGTGAATGTTTATAAGTGCCCGGTTCACTGAAGACCATGCAGGTGGGGCTGAGTATGAGAGTCGCTCAGTCCGGCCCCGACCTCTGTCACGGGCTGGGGGTAAAGTGAGGGGGGTAGGGTGGGGTGGGGAAGAGCCCCTCATCTGCTCCTTTCCACCTGAGTGGTCCTTGACCCTGTGGACACGCTGCTGGGGACACCGACTGAGGAGCAGTGGCCTGCCATGACCAAGCTGCCAGACTATAAGGTGCAGTGGGGAATGGGGGGTCATGGTGGTTCACTGGTGGTCCCCTTTTTTTCCTGGCCCTACAGCCTTTATGCTCTGACCCTCCCTGCACCCCCCGCCCTCTCACAGCCCTACCCGATGTACCCAGCTACAACGTCCCTGGTGAACGTCGTACCCAAGCTCAATGCCACAGGGAGGGACCTGCTGCAGGTAACCAAGGGCAGGGATAAGGGGTGGGGTCAGGACACTTGTCCAGAGGCACACGGAGAGGGTGGGGTTCTGGTGGCTGACTGGCCTGAACCTGCTGCCTTTTTTCCTTGCCTCCAGAACCTCCTGAAGTGTAACCCTGTCCAGCGCATCTCGGCAGAAGAGGCCCTGCAGCACCCCTATTTCTCTGACTTCTGCCCCCCGTAGGCTCCAGGACTCTGGCTGCCAGGCTGGTGCCTGGCCTCTTTAAGCCCCTCCCAGGAGGGGAGGAAAAGCAGGGGACACATGGGGTGCTGAGCCTCAGCTGTGCTGGGCTTGGCCAAGGTGGAGGTGCCCGGCTGTGTTCTTCACTCCCTCCGTGGACTTTATTTAATTTCATAAACTGCCTCCTTCCCCACAGTCTGGCTGATCAGTAGGGTGGCTCTGAGAGGGGGTGGCTTGGGCAGGGGTCTTCGCTCTGCTCCATCCACCCTCCATAACCCTGCTTCCAGCTCGCCCCAAGCCCAGCAGCCCCATCCTTGATCCGCTGCTCCCAGTGGCTGGGCTCCAGGGCAGCACACAGTGTGGCTGTCCGAGGCTCTCAGCATGCCCTTCCTCCCTCGGCCCAGGAGGGCAGTCCTGAGGGGTCAGGCAGCCAGCGCCTGAGAGCAAGGGCGGCCTTCCTCCGGAATGGGGATAAAGGGCTGGGCCTTTCTATGGCCCTCCATCCCCCACACATGCCTGCCCTGTCCCTTCCCTCCCCACAGGCCTTTAGGCTGGAATGGGAGAGACTCAAAGATGTGCTTGGGTTAGAAACACCCCTTCCCCACCTGCTGGTTTGTCAGTTTTCCAGTGTTTGGGGGTTGCAGAGAAAGACCTGGGAAGGTGGGCTGTGGCCAGGGCCTGGGTGTGCCCTTACTAGCAGGAGCAGGAAGGGAAGGTGTCCACCCTCTCAAGCTGGGGCCCCCAGTTTGCCCTGGGGCTTGGGTCCCAAATGTGGGATAAGGGTCCTGATCTTCTGCGCCTGGATAGCAGCTGGTGTCCATGGAAGTGGGCAGCCCGCATCTTCTCCCTTCTTGTTTCCCCACTTGCCAGGCTGCCTTCTAGTTATTCACAGATGGTACCCCCAAGGTGGCTGTCCTATCCCATATTCCTCTCTGCCTTCTCACCTGGCTTTGGGCTCCGTTCTCCGAGAAGTCAGTCTGATAAAGTCCTCTGCACCGGAGGTGCAAATGCCTGAGGCCCTCTCACTACTCTGTTCTCCCAGAGATTGGTGGTGGTGAATTGGGACCCACCTTCTTTTCAGACACTAAATGCACTGTGTGAAGGCTGGCAGGGTCCTGTGCCAGACAGGGCTGAACTTGGCCTGACTAGTCTGCCAGTAAGAGGAAAAGCTGAGGCTGATACACTAGAATTTTATTGGGGGTGAAGATGGCAAAGACCTATGCAGGCTGGACATGTCCAAGATGTCAGGGTGCAGTCCTGAAGACACCAACACCGGGTCTAGAGCTGTGTGACAAGGTAGCAGGTGCGGTGGGAGGCAGAGAGAGTCCTGGTGACAGCATAGGGAGGGGCGGGGGGCCTGTGAGGAGACAGCACAGCATTGAAACAGAGCCTCACAGCTACTGCCCTGCTCCTGGGCCTGGACTTGGCCCTGGACTGGACCTGCCCCTCCTTCCTTGACCTTAGGGAGCGATTTCACATTACCTGGGGCCCAGACTGAGATGGGGAACTTGGGCTCGATGGCTGCCCAGTCCTTCCTGAAGCTGTAGGTGGAGGGAGAGGGTCAAATGTGGGGATGGGTCCCTTCTCCCAGGGACAAGTCAAGGTCACTGCAGGCCCCTCCCATGACAAGTGTTTTCTCAGCTGGGGCGGGCTGGTGTTCTAGGCTTCAGGGGAAGGGCCCGTGCCCACCGTGGAGATGGCAGGGTAGGAAGAGAGGGGCTGTTACCAGATTGGTGCTGGAGTGCCTTTGGGAACGCCTTCGGTTCCAGAAGTATCCCAGGACCCTTTCTCGGAACACCTGGGGCCAAGCAGAGGGGGCAGTGACCAGCGTACACCCTCCCCTTGAGTCCTACGGTCTGATTCCCCCTCCCCCTACTGGGGCCTTGGGCCCACCTCACAGAGGAAGTCGAGGATCTCAAGGATGGTGAGCAGGCTGGCTCCGATGAATAGTCCCATTTGGCCCCCAATGTCTCCTACCAGAGACACGGTCACCCATCAGCTCACAGCCACCTGCTCAACCCACACCTCCCTAGATGCCTGGGATGCCACACACACACAGACACACCCAGCAGCTCTGATACTTCATAGGCCTTCTTCTGCTCCACTGTCTCGTAGTTGAGGGCCTCGAAGAAGATGTCCAGCACCAGCACGTTCTCCCTGTAGGAAGAAAGGCCAGGAATGTTCGCTGGAGAGCCCCTGGTGCCAGCTGCTGCTACGAAACAGGTGCCTGTTCTCTTGTCTCTGACTCCTTTCAGGAGCCCTGGGAGGGTCCTCCCTGCCTCGCGCCCCTCGTTTGCAGAAGAGACTGCATCAGAGAGGTTAAGCAGCTTGCCCAGTGTCCCAGAGCCCCGCGATGATGTGCAGACTGGTGGTCCACCCGGGCGTGCGCACGGAGGCTCACCCTGGGGAGGTAGGGGAGGGGGCCGGCCCCGCTTACGCGATGTAGGCCTCGCTTCGGTTGTGTTTCCGGGCCAGGTAGCGGGCGGCGGCGCGGCTGGGGATCCGCACCATGGAGAGCTCCTTGGCGTAGCGCGTGCTGGTGCACGGGTTAGGGCAGGCGCACGCGTCCTTTCGCAGCATGGCGTCTGCGGGCCGCAGTCGCCAGGGTCAGGGCCCGGCCCCCGGGGGGTCAGGGTTGCCGGGCGAGTCGGGCGGGGGAGGCTTGCCCTTACCCAGCGCCGGGTTGGCGCAGTCCTTGTACTGCTGGGGGCTGCACACTGGAGCGCCGCCTGGGGTGGGGGTGGGGGTGTGAATACAGCCTCAGGAGCGATCCCCGGCCCCCACCCTGCGCCGCCCCCTTCTCCGCTCCCCCAGCCCCTTACCAGGCATATGCATCATTCGACAGCCGCACTTCCGAGCCACATAGCGGGCCTCGCAGGCCAGTCGACACCCCATTAGACTATACGGTGGGCTGGAGCCTGGGCTGGGGGGCCCCGGGGAACCAGAGGGATCTGGCTCGAAGTCTGGGTCCAGAGAAACGGAACTACAGTCGCCCCAGGGTGGTGGCAGGAAGCTCAGCTGTGGACAGTCGGGTTAAGGAGGGGCCCGGCTGGAACATGAGCGGTCACTGTGGAGCAGAGGCCCCTGGCACCAGTCTGAGGAACTGGGGGCTGGGGTGGGGCCGCACCAGTGAGGATACCTGCTGCTGCTGGCAGGACACGAAAGTCTGGTAGCCGGGGGCCACCCCGAAGCCCAGCTGGTCAATGATGGGTGGCTCCTCTTGGCTGTGGATCTGCACCCGGATCCCCACCTCAAACAGGGTCTCCTCTGCCGGGGGAGGGGAACCCTGAGGCCTGAGTCCTAGGGACCCCATGCCGGAGCCTCCTCTCCCCAGGACTGAGGCCAGCCAGCCCTATCCTCTTCCCCCAGGAAAGGGCATGATCGGGGCTTCTTCCAGCCCCAGCTCACCTTCCCAGAGCTTTTGGCGTCCCACCTGTACCCCACCTCCCTTGCATCCTCCCAGCAGCCCCCATACCCATGTCCCTCCACACGGGCAGGTACTCATCCTGCTGCACATCCAGCATGACCTCCAGCCCGCTGCCCATGCCACCCTTGGGAGTAGTGAGAAGCTCTGCCCCGTTCACGCCGGAGTTAAAGGTGTAGCACTGGCCCATCCGGGTGAAGATCTGGGGATGGGCAGACAGGTGGCAGACCTCACCAGGGAACAAGGGCCCTGGCCAGCCCTTCCCCCAGGCAAACATGAGGACCTTGGGACCTCTCCCCTCCATCGTTATTTGGATCTCTTCTTTGACCACAAAACCCACATCTCAGGGCCCCCAGTCTCTCCCTCATACAGGCACGTGCTGTTGGACGCTCCCGGGACCCCATCACCCCAACTCCTCCTCTTCCCCTCTCCCCTCCACCCTTCCAGGCTGCAGGGCAAGCGTTTCTTTGGAGACCGGTGTGAAAGGAAGTGGGTCCCAGTTACCCTGCTCCAGGCAGAGGGAAAACAAGTCCCCTCCTCCTGGCAGAGAGGGGTCACTACGTTCCCACGGCCCCGTTAGATTCCCCCCACCCCTCAGAAGTAGGTAGGGGCTCCTCAGACCAGACCTGGGGCCCAGAGCCAGCCTGGGTCAGGGCCCCGGGCTGGGTGGCATGAGTTCGCACAGTCCAGATGAGAGACAGGGAGGGGACCCCAAGGAGGACAGCTTCCTGGGGGGAACAGAAAGGCACCGATGGGGTGGGGAGCTCGGGGCCTGGCTGCGGAGGAGAGGCTCTCCAGGCACAGGTGCTAAGTTTCCCTGGCTTTGGGGAAGCTGGGGATGGCAAGGCCAGGGATTACTGGTCCTGGGCAGGGACTGGCTGGTGCTCCTGGGTCCCTGGTGGGATGGGTCTGGTGGTCAGCTCACCGTGGTGAAGTTCTCAGCCCCGCACGGTTGGCCACGGTAACGGCAGTCCAGCAGCATGTCCTCAAGGGTGTGCCCAGCTCGGGCATAGAGTCGGGCCATGTCGAAGGTGGGACTGGGCATGAAGCCGGGTGGCGCGGGGGGCCGGCCCAGGGCGTGCAGGAAGGCAGCATGCTCGGTGGGCTCCAGGCCCAGCAGCGTGGGCCCAGCCCAGTGCAAGTCATTGGGTGTGAGGTGTGAGCGCCGCAGCGGGTTGATGTTGCACAGGGTGATGGCTGGGAAGGTGAGCCGGTGGCTTTCACGCTCGTCCAGGGCCGTCTCGTGGTGGAACTCCCCGTAGTAGCGCACCCTCTGAGCCACCTGGTACAGGAAGGCAGCCAGCGACAGCAGCATGGCTGCTGCCCACAGCCCCCGGCGTGGGGTCAGGCCCCCCGGGCCAAAGACATGGCCTAACCCGTGCAGTGTGCAGCTGTGGGCAAACACGCGGATGTCCGAGGCTGGCTGCTGGGCCTCCTCTGGCCCTGAGGGGGGCTTCATGGCTGAGGGGACTGAGAGGGCCGGGGGGGATGGTAACCAGGTTAAAAGAGGCTTGGAAGGAGGAAAAAGGTTCCGTCTGAGAACTGGGTGGGGCTGGGAGAGGCTTTGGGTGGTCAGGCAGGGGTAGCTGCAGGTGAGGCAAAGGGAGGGGTAGGTGGAGGTGAGGAGCCAAGACTAAGGGGTGGGGAGGTCCCGGCCTGGGGAGTCCAGTGAGGCCTTCTCCGGGAGCAGGCTGCGGCTGGGCTGGGCACAGCACTGGGCTGGGGGCTCCGCAGCAGCCCCGGTAGGCAAGCTGGTGTGGCAGGCAGGGGCCACGTGGCTGGAGGCTGTCTGCTGAGCCTGTGCCGCAGAGGATTGGGTTTCAGCGGTGAGGGGGCAAGGGGGCCGGCGGAGCAGTTTGGGGGGCGGGGTAGGTCCCTGGGGCCCCTGGCTGAGCCATTAGTGCGGCATGTGGGGGGGCTGTGGCTGTGGAGACCAGAGGCGCCAGCAGGAAACCACAGCAATCTTGGGTAGTTTGAGGGGAGCCCAGAGGTAAGTTGGGGCTGGGGGTGCCTTTGGTCCCTCTACGTTCTCAGCTGCAGCCCCTGTGGTGGGGCTGAGGGTCAGTTGCTTCTCCTTGGCCCAGACCCTCCCTCCTCCGGTCTGTCCTCTCTCCCCACGAACCTCACCAGGGACCATTTGCTTTTTCACAGAGAGTGAAGTTGGCTCTCCACCAAGCTGGGAAGTGGTGGGAAGTTTGGCATTGGCAGGCTCCTCTTTCAGAGCCCCCAGCCTCCCCTGGCCGGCCATGGCCTCTTCAGGTCCCATGTTCAGGGGCAGTCTGTCTCCAGTGGCCCCCTTTCCCACCTCCCCACACTCAGGCCCTCCTCTATTGGAGACTGATTTTGGGCTCACCTGCCACCCTCCCAGGCATACCCTGGGTGCCCCATGTGCCACCCTCCCAGGGGACCTGGGTATCCTATAATTTCACATCTCTTTTCACTTAGCATATCCTGCAGACCATTTGCACCTGGAAAACTAATCCATTTGGGAGAATGCACACCATTCCATTACATGGACCCCTATTGATGAACATTGGGGGTTTCTAGTCTTCCACTGCAAACAATGGTGCTTATCTATATCATTGCATGGATGTAAACTCCAGAAATAGAACTGCTGCTGGGTTAACAGGCAACTGCATGAGTTATTTGATAGACAGCACAAAATTCCCCACCTTGGAAGTTACACCACTTTGCATGCCCAGCAATAAAATGGAGTGTCTGTTTTGCATGGGGGCTTTTCTAAAGGAAGAGACACTGTGCCCCTAAACTGGCTGGGATGCCCAGGGGCCACAATGCCTAGAACAGTGTGGCAGTGCCGGCCTTGGAAGGGCAGTGCTGGCACATTTGACTCAAGATGCCTCAGTTGATCCAGAAGAGACAATGGGTTGGGTGGGGAAAGACTCCCAGTGGCTGGAGCAAACATCTCCAGAAAGCCAACTTGCAAGGTGAGTGCCACCTGACTTGGGACAGGACAGGGGGTGTCTTGCTGATCCTAGGTGCAGGGAACATGGGGTGGCAGCAGGAGGGCTCGATGCTGGGGAACACAGGAGCCAGCCCAGACCCAGCACGTGGAGGATGGCAGGGCCTGGCCATCGTCAGTGTCAAGCCCTGTGTCTGGGGAAATACATTTGCCCCCAGGTTTCTAGGATGGAAAAGCACTGCACTGTAGACGTGAGAAGGCAGGTTTATCTCCAGTAATGTATTTACCGAGACTTGTTTCTACTCCCATCTCCTTCCACTAAGCATTTGAAGACAAGAGTTCACATTGGTGGGCTCTTGGCTGAGTGGAAGAAACAAGTTCGCCAACTAAGCACAACCACTCTGTGCTGGGAAAGCCTATCCACCTGTCTGTCCTCCTGGCCAGACCGCAGGTTTCATGGGCAGGACTTCTTATCCCATTGCACGTGCTTAATGAACACAGCTCTCAGAAGGAGAGGAAATAGTAGTTTATTGCACAGATGTGATCAGCTTCTCAGGCTGTACTATTGCGAATTTTAAGTACTTCACCACAGATTCTCCCATGTAGAGTCTTAAGCTCTCAGGATGAAGCAGAGCCAAGGTTATGACCCGTGATAAATAGCCCCACGATCCAAGGTTGAGGTTAAGGCTACACAGCAAGTGTGTGGCCACCACACAGCCTTCTAGGCTGGATTGCTCTGCTTCCCCAGTGGGTGGGGTGCGAGCAGTATTTGGAGGCCACCCGCAAGAGGTAAGAGACTCTCAGAATCTGGCGTCAGAAGGCATCCCAGGTAGCCTGAGGCTGGGACTAGAGCAGGTGGGGCAGGAGCTGGCCTTGGCCGACTCGCTGCAGGGAGGCCAGGCAGGCCGGTGAGGACCAGGCCTGGGCGCCGAGGCCTGCTCTTGGCTACGCTCACTAGGGAGGTGTTTGGTGGCAAAGCGACCCAGCCTGTACTCTGTTCCCTGGGCTGTGACCGCCAACCAGCAAGGAAGCAGGGCTATCAAGCCAGTGGCTGCGGCCTTGGGGTATTTCAGATGCTTTGTCCCCGAAGCAGTTATCTGGTCCTAAACCACATCCAGAAAAGACTGTGGGGACTCTCATCCCTGGGCTCTGCACTCATACCTGAGCCACTGCTACCTACTCCAGGCTGGCCTCCAGCCACAACCCGCTCTGCTCATCCTGCACCCTTGAAACGTGCCATCGCCCTTCGGTGCCACAGGATAAATCTTCAAGGCTTGGTTGCCTGTGAGGTCCGGCGTAGGCAATCCCTCTCCCCCAGCCCAGGGAGCAGGGCGCAGGCTGAATGGGTCCTCTTCCCCACCCCAGGGCACAGTCCTTAGCCTGGAACGCAGTGAAGGGGCAAGGATTCCTGGTGGGAAGACAGGACCAAGACCGAGGCAGGACGGGTGGGCTGCTCGGGGAGACTGTGAGGAGGTTGGTGGGAAATCCTGGCCGTCCTAGGCCCTCAGAAGCCAAGTCCAGCCCTGCATCACTCACAGCTTTGGGGCTATAGACACAGACTCCTGCCCCCTGCGTGGTTGGCCCAACGCCTTCCAAGGTGAGGCTCTGGTCCCACCTGCCTCAGGGAGCCTCCCTGACACTCCACGGAGGCTGGTCCGGAGGCTGGTCCGGCAGGAACCTCTCCTTCCCAGACTGATTCTGTATTCTGAGGTCAGCATGAACTGCTCCCTAGCAGCCTGGCGACTCCCAGCATTATATGCTCCCCGTGGCTGGAGTCCTGGCGTGTATTGCCCCTTCTGTCCCCTTCAGATCTTGGTGTTTTCACATAGGAGGGGAGCTGTCCACAATCTCATCAGGTGACTTCAGGCTCACGGGGCCAGGGCAGTGGTAAGACAGCCCAGTCCACTGGGAGCTCCTGGGGGCCACGGGGGCGCCCTGCCTCTCCTGCCTCCCCAAGGGCCAGGTGCGTGTTAGGCCCCTATCCCATTTGGATGGCGGGGAGGGCGAAGTCGAGACAGTCTAGAAACACTGGACTGTGTCAAGGGAGCAGGGAGAAGAAGGGAGTTGCTCCCAGGCTGGTGACTTGTGAGTTGGAGGGGTCGGCCCCAGGGTGGGCTTCTTGTGCCCTGGCCTAGAGAGGCAGTGGGGAAGGAGAACTGTTGGGTATCGGTCTGAGTGAGGGAGATCCTGGCAAGGGTGTGGGCACAGGTTTCAGCTCCAGGTAGAGCGGGAGACTCAGCAGGGTCTCGGAGAAGGTCCAGGAGGGCCTGGCAAAGGGAAGGACAGAGGAGGAGCTCGGGGCCTCTGCCTCCGCCCTGGTGCAGCCCGGCCACTCAAGGCTCTGGCAGGAGGGAGGCAGCAGGTGGCAGGAGAGGGACTGGGTGGGCGCGGTCCCACTCACCCCCAAGCCCAGCACTCAGCTGGGATGTACTGTGAGCAGGGCAGCAGCCCAAGTATACGAGCCCTCCTGGGGGCTCAGGCCCTGGGAGCGCCCCTGCGCTGAGCCCCGGCTCTGGGCACTGCTCTCAGGACCTCACAGGGCGGTTCCTGGGGCCTTTGGGCGCCTCGGGCGGTGGGGCTTCCAGGGCCTGCCTGTGGATGAGCTCTGCATAGAGGCCCCCCTTCTTCAGGAGCTCTTCATGAGTCCCCACCTGCGGGGAAGAAGGAGGAGCAGATGGTCACTAAGCCCACTCGGAGTTCAGAGCCCCAAGAGGGCTGGCTCCTTATCTGCCACCTAAGCCAGTGTCCCTTCTGGGGACATTATAAGACAAAGCACATCTGGTCCCAGGTTGCCATCGGCACATCTCTATTTGTTAGCACCACCTCCCTGCTTAGCCAGATTTCAGAGAGCAGCTGAGTCCTGTTGCCCTTACAAAGCCCAATGACTCCAGCTTCTGCCGGAATGAGTGGTTGGGGGCTGAGCCAGACCCCCACATAGCCTCCAAGCCTGGCTGCAGACCCAGCCTGGGGGGTGCTGCTCCTGGGTGGCACCTGATCAGGGTCCCTGGTGCTGCCTCTTGGGCCTGCAGCCCCTGGCCCCTCCCCCAGCACAGCACACCTCTGAGTCCTTTTCTATGTGGTCCTGGGAGTCATGGTACAGCTCTACTACCCCCAGGGAACAGAGGAGGAAACTGGGGCCCTGGAGGCCAGGGCTCACCTAAGGGCAGACACTCCTCATCCACATGAGGTACTGCGCCAGAACATGGCCCCACAGCCCTAGGGCCAGGCTAGACCCTCACACGTGCCATCCCAACCCACAGAACGGCTCCCTGGGCCCCGGCTGACCTCACAGACATGGCCTTGGGCCATCACGACGATGTGGTGGGCCCCACGCACGGTGCTGAGCCGGTGGGCGATGACCAGCACCGTGCGGCCAGTGCTGGCACGGTCCAGGGCCTCCTGCACAACCTGCTCGGACTCAGCGTCCAGTGCGCTGGTCGCTTCGTCCAGAATCAGCACCGTGGGCTGCTTGATGAGGGCACGGGCGATGGCCAGGCGCTGCTTCTGGCCACCAGACAGGGTTGCACCCCGCTCACCTGGGGAGGAAGGGGTCAGGGCAGGGGCCTGAAGTGATCCTCAGCTCCGACTTGGGGGCACACACATGGCACCGGACCATCCAGAACGTCCCACCCAGCCCCTTGGGGCCCTCCCTATACAATGCACGTCCGTCCTGCCTCTCTCAGGGCAGGGGCTCTGCCTGCTAGCATCCTGACCCCATGTCCCCATGCAAATGCACATGTACCCACACAAGATGACAAGGTGCTCTGCATGGGGCAGGGCTCAGCGCACCCAGGGCAGTCACCAAGCACCCCGCCCGCACCACGGCAGGGTTTCAGAACCATGAAGGGCCCTACCCCTGCCCCAGCCCCCCGTTCTAGCCGCCTTCTCCTGGCCTCCTGGGACCTGATGTGTGCTCCAGGAGTGTTCGGAGGCTGGTCCGGCAGGAACCTCTCCTTCCCAGACTGATTCTGTATTCTGAGGTCAGCATGAACTGCTCCCTAGCAGCCTGGCGACTCCCAGCATTATATGCTCCCCGTGGCTGGAGTCCTGGCGTGTATTGCCCCTTCTGTCCCCTTCAGATCTTGGTGTTTTCACATAGGAGGGGAGCTGTCCACAATCTCATCAGGTGACTTCAGGCTCACGGGGCCAGGGCAGTGGTAAGACAGCCCAGTCCACTGGGAGCTCCTGGGGGCCACGGGGGCGCCCTGCCTCTCCTGCCTCCCCAAGGGCCAGGTGCGTGTTAGGCCCCTATCCCATTTGGATGGCGGGGAGGGCGAAGTCGAGACAGTCTAGAAACACTGGACTGTGTCAAGGGAGCAGGGAGAAGAAGGGAGTTGCTCCCAGGCTGGTGACTTGTGAGTTGGAGGGGTCGGCCCCAGGGTGGGCTTCTTGTGCCCTGGCCTAGAGAGGCAGTGGGGAAGGAGAACTGTTGGGTATCGGTCTGAGTGAGGGAGATCCTGGCAAGGGTGTGGGCACAGGTTTCAGCTCCAGGTAGAGCGGGAGACTCAGCAGGGTCTCGGAGAAGGTCCAGGAGGGCCTGGCAAAGGGAAGGACAGAGGAGGAGCTCGGGGCCTCTGCCTCCGCCCTGGTGCAGCCCGGCCACTCAAGGCTCTGGCAGGAGGGAGGCAGCAGGTGGCAGGAGAGGGACTGGGTGGGCGCGGTCCCACTCACCCCCAAGCCCAGCACTCAGCTGGGATGTACTGTGAGCAGGGCAGCAGCCCAAGTATACGAGCCCTCCTGGGGGCTCAGGCCCTGGGAGCGCCCCTGCGCTGAGCCCCGGCTCTGGGCACTGCTCTCAGGACCTCACAGGGCGGTTCCTGGGGCCTTTGGGCGCCTCGGGCGGTGGGGCTTCCAGGGCCTGCCTGTGGATGAGCTCTGCATAGAGGCCCCCCTTCTTCAGGAGCTCTTCATGAGTCCCCACCTGCGGGGAGGAAGGAGGAGCAGATGGTCACTAAGCCCACTCGGAGTTCAGAGCCCCAAGAGGGCTGGCTCCTTATCTGCCACCTAAGCCAGTGTCCCTTCTGGGGACATTATAAGACAAAGCACATCTGGTCCCAGGTTGCCATCGGCACATCTCTATTTGTTAGCACCACCTCCCTGCTTAGCCAGATTTCAGAGAGCAGCTGAGTCCTGTTGCCCTTACAAAGCCCAATGACTCCAGCTTCTGCCGGAATGAGTGGTTGGGGGCTGAGCCAGACCCCCACATAGCCTCCAAGCCTGGCTGCAGACCCAGCCTGGGGGGTGCTGCTCCTGGGTGGCACCTGATCAGGGTCCCTGGTGCTGCCTCTTGGGCCTGCAGCCCCTGGCCCCTCCCCCAGCACAGCACACCTCTGAGTCCTTTTCTATGTGGTCCTGGGAGTCATGGTACAGCTCTACTACCCCCAGGGAACAGAGGAGGAAACTGGGGCCCTGGAGGCCAGGGCTCACCTAAGGGCAGACACTCCTCATCCACATGAGGTACTGCGCCAGAACATGGCCCCACAGCCCTAGGGCCAGGCTAGACCCTCACACGTGCCATCCCAACCCACAGAACGGCTCCCTGGGCCCCGGCTGACCTCACAGACATGGCCTTGGGCCATCACGACGATGTGGTGGGCCCCACGCACGGTGCTGAGCCGGTGGGCGATGACCAGCACCGTGCGGCCAGTGCTGGCACGGTCCAGGGCCTCCTGCACAACCTGCTCGGACTCAGCGTCCAGTGCGCTGGTCGCTTCGTCCAGAATCAGCACCGTGGGCTGCTTGATGAGGGCACGGGCGATGGCCAGGCGCTGCTTCTGGCCACCAGACAGGGTTGCACCCCGCTCACCTGGGGAGGAAGGGGTCAGGGCAGGGGCCTGAAGTGATCCTCAGCTCCGACTTGGGGGCACACACATGGCACCGGGCCATCCAGAACGTCCCACCCAGCCCCTTGGGGCCCTCCCTATACAATGCACGTCCGTCCTGCCTCTCTCAGGGCAGGGGCTCTGCCTGCTAGCATCCTGACCCCATGTCCCCATGCAAATGCACATGTACCCACACAAGATGACAAGGTGCTCTGCATGGGGCAGGGCTCAGCGCACCCAGGGCAGTCACCAAGCACCCCGCCCGCACCACGGCAGGGTTTCAGAACCATGAAGGGCCCTACCCCTGCCCCAGCCCCCCGTTCTAGCCGCCTTCTCCTGGCCTCCTGGGACCTGATGTGTGCTCCAGGAGTGTGAATGGCTCAGTGGGATTTGAAGCCCAGCACTCAGGCACTCTGGGAAGACCACACTTGGGGTCCAAAATGCCCACAGAGAACAGCCAGGGAGCCAAAAGGAGCATCACGCAGTGGCAGCTGCAGGTCAGCGAGGGCAGACTGAGGCGCCAGACAGGCCCAGGGGCTCTGTGTGGAGCTCACCCAGGGGTCAGAGGCACGAGGAAGTGCTGCCCACGAGAGGCGGGCCCAGCTCCTGCAGTTAGGCAGTGTGGCACGTGAACAGTGAGCAGCTGGAGCAGTAACACCAAGCATGACGGACGGCTGTGGACAGCGGGGGCCCTACTTGGAAGGCTGAAGCTCAGCTAAACTGCTGTCTCACTTTAAAGAAGAGTTGAGAACCTCAGGTATGCCTGCACCTTGAGGTATGCTGGAACATTCTGCAACAGAGCCAAGGGACTCTGGACGATAAACATGCCCCAAAGGTTGAAAGAAAAACCTCTGAGATGAACACACAAGGCTGCAACTGCAATGTGAATATTCCAGGGACATGCTCCAATGCTTCAGGGTTCTAGAACCACTAAAGTCCTCTTCTGGGTAAGTCAGAAGAGAGACCCAATCCTATGGGTCACAAGATGGGAAATGCCTTTATGTTAAGGAATAAAAATACAGCAACGGAACAGGAGCCAGAGGATAAATGATGATGGGGGGATGCTACCTCACTGTTTCTGGTTGGGTATGGCGCCATGTGGCCCCTGGTGAGCTCTGAGGATGCCCAGCACCATGGATCACTTGTGTCCCTGCACTGCGCTCCCAGTCACATTCCTGTCTCTGCAAGTACATGAGCCTGGACTTCCATGTCCCCACAGAACCATTTCTGTCCCCATCAGCCACAGGTCTGGTCTGGTTTCTGACACTATGACTAAGTTTGTTCCCCCCGATCCCGGCCTCATGCCATGGTACCTGTGCACGATGCCATTCCTGGGACTCACCGACCATGGTGTTGTAGCCCTGGGGGAAGCTGGTGATGAATTCGTGGGCGTTGGCTTCCCGGGCTGCTGTGTAAACCTCTTCGTCAGTGGCATCCAGCTTCCCAAAACGGATGTTCTCCATGATTGTCGTTCCAAACAGGACTGGCTCCTGGGGGTGGGGTTGTCCACAGGAAATTCTGACTTTGCCCCTGAGGGGCACGTCAGGAGAGGCTATCCTGGCCAGACCAGGACCCCGCGCAGAGCTGGTAGGGGCAGTTCAAAGTTACAGGTCAAATGAGAATAGAGGTCCATCAAAGTGGGCAGAGGCCCTTAGGAGTGGGAATGGGGGGTGGCTGGGGTAGACAGAACGGTCATCCCACCCCCACCTACTTGGACCACTTTAATCCAGAAACAGAGTTCCTGCCCCGGTGAGGCCAAGGCAGAGCTAAGCAGCAGCGCGGGTCCCAGGGCCGGGGAGCCAGACCCCAGTGAATGCTGGGGAGCCAGTGAGGAAGGCCGGAGGCCCCATCCCCTGAGCAGGGGGCTATGGGGTGGGAAGGCAGGGAAAGGCCCAGGCACCACCATAAGGACTGAGAGAAGCAGGACCTGGTGAGGAAGGAGAGGGGGGCTGGGCAGAAGGGGGTCAGACACACTTCCAGCGGAGCCTGCGGTGAGGAAAGCGTCTTGTCTCCGCACCTGGCTGATGAAGCCGATGACCTGGCCCCGCAGCCAGGAAGGGTCCAGGGAGCGCAGGTCCCACCCGTCCAGCATCACCATACCAGCGGTGGGGTCATAGAAGCGCTCAAGCAGCGAAGCCACAGTTGTCTTTCCTGGGGAAATGGGTGGGGGAGGCAGGGGCAGGTGGGGAGGGGGTGTGGGTTTCTGGAGACTGTGCCAGGAGAGGGGCCCCTCCTCCCGACTCGAGTAGCTCTCCCGGGAAGGAAAGCCACAGGGTGGGAGGGCAGTGGGTACCTCTTACCTCCCCCAGACTGGCCCACAAGGGCCACAATCTTGCCAGGAGGCAGTGTGAGGGTGAAGTCTTTGAGCACCTGGAAGCCGGGGCGGGAGGGATAGCTGTGGGGGGCAGGGGAGCAAAGAGACCGTCAGTTGGACCAGGTGCTGACCCCTTGTTGCTCTGATCGCTATACCCCTGAAGGGGGGTAACTGGAGGGAGACACTGACCCACAGGTCCCTGGCCAGGCTCCCCTTCTCATTGTCAGCCCAGAGGGACCTACCTGTGCCCACCCACTGATACTGACCTGAAGCAGACATGGTGAAATGTGACGGACCCGCGCAGGCACTCCCTGGGCACACAGGAGCCCCCAGACAGCGGGATGCACGGGCTCAGAGTCATGTACTCGAAGACCCGGGTGCCCGCGCTGAGCCCCCGCACCACCTGAGGAGGGGATTTACTGGTGAGGGAGCAGCAGGGTCCCAGGGAATGGGTGGGGACAGCAGTGTCTTTGGACTCCCAAGGGCAGGCAGTGGGAGGGGCCGGTGGTATCCCCAGTTCCTGTGACACACAGTGAGTGGTGGCAGTCGGACTCCAGCCCAGATCCAGTCCACACACTCGACCCACCCCCCAACTCTGCCACTCACCTGGCCAAACAGGACAGAGAGGTTGGCCATGGACCTGTGAGGAGGAGGAAGGAGGGGTGAAGGCGTGGGCCTAAGAAGAGCCTGAGAGAAAGCCAGCACCGGAGGGGGAAGGTCTGGGTCTCAGCTGCCTGGGGAAACAAGCTGGGTGAGGCTGAGCCAAAGCAGGGAATGCCCCTCCTCTCTGGGACCGCAGACGCAGGGGATCCAGCAGAGCTCTGGAGGGGAATGGGCAGGTGGCTTCGCCTTTCGGAGGCGTGATCTCTCCTTGGCTGGAGGAAGTGGATACCTGAGGATGGGGGCTCCGGGGGGAAGGGCGCTGGGAAGCAGGTGCCATACTGCCTGCCTGCAGCCTGCTTGGCGGAGGCTGGCCCCCCGCACAAGCGCTGGCCATCAACAGAGGTTGGGGAGCTCAGGCCTAGTGCTGCTGGCTCCTGGGGAAGCTAGAACCAGTGCGGATAAATGCAAGTTAATGCTTTCAGAGAAAGAACAAGACACTGGACCACAGGGAGAACTCAGGGAACCCCAAAACCCAAATCCTCTGAAGACATTTTATTGTGAACTGGCACTGAAAGCTCTGAAAGGACGGTGAGAGTGTGTATCTGTCTAGACAGTGGGTCACCTCCTGTCATGTAGGGCTGCCTGCCTGCTGGTGGGAGGAAGGTGAGTCACCGCTTCTTAGTCACCAGTCCCTGACTGGCCTGGCCGGCCCGTGACAGTGTGTGCATCTGTGATTGTGGGTGCACGTCCTTCTTGAAGAAGAGGAAAGACCGACTCTCCAGCAATCTCATTTCTTCCAGCCCAGGGTGGGGTGGGGGTGGGGGTGGGGAGCCTGCCAGGAAGTGGTTCTGGCGGGTCAGAGGCTCAGAGCCATCGGCACTCGCCAAAGGGAGAGGGGAGGCCTCAAGCAAGGAAGAGCCGGGACAGCACGTTATCTGTGATGAGAAGGGAGAATGTTCTCCACAGGAGATGTGGAGGCCATTGGGGCCTGGCAGAGGGGCTGGGCAGCAACTGAAAATCAGAGGCACGTGACTCGGTGGTACGTGATGACCCTCCTCTCAGAGATGGCTTAGAAGGCAGGCCTCAGCTCTCCCTGGAGGCTTAGTGGTGGAGGTGGTCCATTCCTAGAGGGGCCCAGACATGGACGCAGACCAGGTCAGACTGGCCTATGGTCTTCTGGGTACCTTCCCATCTCCTGCAGAGCCCAGTGACAACTAAAAGAATACCTATGATGAAGTCTAGAGGTTGAGACTGCTTCTCTCCCCTCCCTCCCTCCCTCTGCTGGATCCCAGGAAAAAAATACCAGCTTCTTTAATAAAATAAGACCCAATTCCTTCAAGGTGGGTCACAATGAAGCATCTCCACGTGGGAGGGGGTCCCCCCAGAGGACAGGGCTAAGGCCAGTGGCTATGGGAGCAGCCCCACCTAGCAGCCAGAGAGAAAAACAGTACAGACTGGCTTCCTGGGCTTTCTTGTGTCTGTAACCATAAAACGGCTAACTGGCTAGACAGTACGGCGAGGAGGAGAGCAAAGGGTCTGTACCCAGGCCATCAAGGGGTGCAGAGGCAGGCCAGCCTGACGGCGCCAGGCTTGGGAGGTGCAGCTGCCTGCCCCACAAGGAGGCTTTCCTGCCACTGCCTGTGTGAAGGGCATCAGAAGGGCCTGTAAGGGTTCTCAGGACCACAGCGGGAGGCTGACGCTCAGACTGGAGTCGGCCTGGGGGAGGAGCAGCAGGGTAGGGGCGGGGCAGCCCCACCTCCACAACAGAGAAGAACCTCGGTCCCAGGGTCACTGGGCAACAGTTTCTGGGCTGCAGGGGGATGAGGTCGCACAGGACCAGAGAATCTGAACAGGCCCAGATGAGGGAGCCCCGGTGGAAATGGGGCTGAGGGTGGGAGTGTCTTCTGTATGTCCTACGGCTGGCTGGATTAGCTCCATTTCACCCAGAGCAATACTAAGGCCAAGGGGAGGGATTCTGTAAGAAATGGGCAGTAAGACATGAAGCGGCGTCAGGCCACAAGCATCAACAGAATCAGGAACAATGGGGTAGCGGCACAAGAGGGTGTCTGGGTGACCTATTTCCTGGACATGACTGGCAGTACACCAGTTCTGCGCTCTTCCAAGATTTATTATAGCATATTCACTCATAAGTTGTTTACCATATGTTAATGTTTTATGTATTTTAATATACAAGGCTTGTTTTGGGGGGTAGACAATGTGAACGGAAACAGCAGAAGTAACGGCAAGTGTTTAGCGTGGAGGAAAAAGAGGAGCCTGCGGCCAGGTCGGCCTCGAGCTCTGGGCTACCCAGGGCAGAAGGGCCCGGCGGAACAGGAAGCTTTCACAGCAATGAGCCCAGTGGGCCGGGAGGCCGGCCCGTGTGTGGGGAGGGTGAGCTTCTTGTTCCCAGGAAGGTCAGGCAGAGAATGGCAGGCTAGCTCTTAGAAGTGTGTCAAACATGTTGTATCCATACATGGAGTCTTAGTCAGTCTTAGAAAGCAAATCCTGACACAGGCTACATGGCTGAACCTGGAAGGTGCGCCCAAGGGAGGAAGCAAGTCACAGAAGGACAGACGCCGCAGGAGTCCCCTCACACGAGTACCCACGGCAGTCAGCTTCAGAGACAGGGAGCAGAACCGCGAGGCCGGGGGCTGGGGAGGGGGTGTGTGGGACGGTGTTGAAAAGGTGCAGTATTTCAGTTTTGCTGTTTGAGTTGAAACAGTTCTGGGACGGGGGTGATGGTTATACCACCATGTGATTGTACACAGAGCTACGAAACCATACACTTAAAAATGGTTAAGATGGTAAATAGTATGTTATGTATATTTTACTATGATTGAGAAAAAGCTTGTTAAGGAAACTTGGGAGTTGTCTGAAAGGCTGAAGATGACAACTGCATTTCTGAGTGTACAGTCGGCGAGGTGGGGAGGGGCTCTGGCAGAGGGGCCTCCCTCTCCCAGCCCTGTGCGTCACCAGAAAGCCGGCGGCCCGGCACTGTGAGGCAGTCCCCAGGACAGGCTGGCAGTCCCATCTCCCGAGCCAGCAGGACTCCTTGACAATGGCAATGGCCCCCACTTACCTCTGCACTGTCTGGGAGGCCACCAGGAAGGACATGAGATCTCCCCCTGTCAGCTGCTGCCCAGCCACGAGGGAGCCCCCAATAAATAGGGTGCCCAAGATCATGCCTGTACAGAGAAAGGGACGTGGTTAGGAAGGCAACAGCTAGGAGCAGCCTCAGAGCCCAGCCAGTTAGTCCCCACTTCCAGCCCTTGCTGTACCTCCAACTGACTGGAATTTTGGCAAGTCACCTGAATGGTCTCTGCCTTTGTTTCTGCATTTGGAAAAGAGTGGGTGGGGGTGGGGTGCACCTCCACGGCTTCCTCTGGGGCGTCTAGCAGTACAAGACACATAGCTAGGTTGAGACACGGCCCACCTTCCCACTGCCTGCCCACAGGAGCAGGCTCAGGGGCCTGGCACTCCACAGGCGTCTCAGGGACATCAAGCAGATGGACAGCTGCCCTTGCCTGCCTTACTGGGATTTCCCACCTGCAAGCTCCCTGGCAGACAGGCCCTGGCACCCCAGGGAGGGCCCTGCTCACTCACAGTTGAAGGCGATGTTGGAGAGCCCTTGGAACAAGGCGATGCCTCTGCCCAGCTCCTCCGCCTTACAGCGGGATTCCTCCAGCTCCGCTCTGTAGCGTCTGGGAGAGAGGCCGAGTCCATGGTCAGGCGCTCAGGCGGTAGCCGGGTTGCGGGCACAGGGTGGGGTGGGGGTGCAGGGAGCCCTCCCAGCTTTGTGCTCCATTCCTGCCCAGGACTCACTCCTCCTCCCGCTGCTCCATGGCGAAGGCCCGCACAGTCCGAACATTGCCCAGGGCCTCATCCGCTACACCTGTTGCCCTGGCAATCTGTAAGAAGCTCAGGAAATGGAGCCACATTGGAAACGTGGAGAAGTAACAGGGCAGAGAGAAAGCGGGAAGGATAAGGAGGACAGGCAGAAACTCTTGTACCTGTTCCTGACACTGGCGAGACAATTTTCGGAGAGCTGAGCCCATTAGGGTGCCAACTCCCATCAGGGCAGGCGTGGCCACCATCAGCAGCAGCGTGAGGCGTGTGGACAGCATGGACAGGGACACGAGGCAGCCGGCCAACTGGGTGCAGCTCCGCAGTCCCTGAGGAGTGCAAAGGGAGGCAGGAAGGCCATTCGGCATCAGCACCATGACATGCGGGCCTTCATCAAGGATCAGCTGGCTATACCTCTACACTCACAAGGCCAAGGCCACAGGTCTGACCCCTGGCAGGCCGACTGGCAGTCCAAGGGGCACAGAATGGTGACCTCTTCTTGACCAGCAGGCATGAAGTGGTTCAGTGAGATTATCTGAGGACTATGGCACGCTTCCCTAGACAAATCCCAGTCTGCCGCTCTCTCTGCTCTAGAAACTGAACAAAAAGAATCGCGTGGGGATCCTGCTCAGTGACTGCTACGGGTCAGGCCCTGGCATGATCCTCAGCCACAGTGACAGTGCTAATGTGGGCAGACGAGGAGCGGACATCAGCAGTACAGTCAGGAGCCATGGCTCGTTCTCCCTAGCGCCTGTCAGCATGCCCGGCATCCTGCGTGCAAGGCAGGCTGGGGTGAGGTTGCTCTTAACCAGCTGGGCCAGGAAAGGCTCTTTGCTGAGCTTGTGGGAAGGTTTTCTGGGGAGGCAGGACTTCAGAACAGGAGAGAAGCAGCCTGTTCCGACCTTGGACACTGCCGTGGCACCTCCCTTCCATGAACTTCCCCAGCCCCTCTCTCACATCCTCACCAGACAGCAGGCCTCTCGCTTGAGTGTGTCTAGGCTTGGGGCCCAGCGACCGGGTGGGGTGGGGCTGGCCTGGTTTGTCCGCACTGGAGGGGGAGAGTGTGTGTGTGTATAGGGGGGCTGGACACCGACCTGTGAGATGACAAGTTTGAAGGATGATTTAAACTCCTGCACATCAGCTGTCAGTCGGCTCACCAGCTGCCCTGTCTTTTTAGCATCAAAGAAGGCAATGTCTTGTCTGGCAGTGGAACATGAGGGTAGCAGGTGGAAGAGGGGTAAACATTACTTCAGGGTGAGGCCACCCCCCACATTCACCCAGAGCCCCAGGGCCCAGCAGTGACCCCCACCCCCACCCTACAGCTGCAGTACCGGAGCAGGTTGCTGAAGAGGGCCCTCCGCATGTCCACAGCCACGCGCTCCCCAACGCGGGAGAGCAGCGCCAGGTACCCAAAGGTCAGCAGGCCCTGGGAGAGAGGCCGGAGCACTCAGGGGCGCCCCGGCAGCCTCTCTGGGCACCCCCAGGCCCTCCCTTCTGCCGCACCTGGATGCCATAGAGGAGGAGCAGGTGAGCGCTGATACGCCAGGACTCAGTCAGGAAACTACCCACGTGGTCCCTCGTGTACTTGGCCACAATTTCCACCAGCTGGCCCAGGAGCAGGGGGATCTGTACATTCACCAGTGCTGCACCCAGTGCCAGCTGGGGGAGGGGCAGACATTTAGAGGGGGCTGTGCTCTTCCCCATCCCTGGCCCCGGGGCTGGCCCTTCCTTTCCTGCTGCTGTCTGTGTTTCGGCTGCTCCTGTGCCTCTCTGAAGTTAAAACCCAGGCCGCCAGCCCCTGGGAATCCCTGCGCCCTGCACACCCAGCAGCCCTGTGTGGGCTCTCCTCCTAGCCCTCGGGCAGCCCTCGCTGCTCCGAGGCCTTCCCTGAGATTTGGTGACGCGAGAAGCTGTCCTCACACAGTTCTGCCTGGGGCTTCGGCAAACCCCTGGCTCGGTCCTTCCCTGTCCCTGGTGTGAGGAGATGGGGGAAGATCTCACCACGATGGCTGCCCCTAGAACCAGCAGGTGGGGGTGCAGAAACTGCCAGAAGAGCTTCCAGTTAAAGTGGGACTCCACAACATAGGGTCTGGAGCAGGCAGGAGGGGCCTCTTCTGCCTCACACAGGGCCACAAGGTAGAGGCGGGGGCACTTGCTCAGCACCACAGGGCCCAGGAGGCCTCCCCCAACCCAGTGCCAGGCAAAGGGGCTTCGGCTGGGAGCTGGGGGTGTTCGAGGGAGGTGGGCCCGGAGCTGGCGCCGCACCTGGGCCATGGCCCTGAGGAGGTAAGAGCTGTGGTGGCCATCACAGTACCTGTGGGGAGAGAATGGCATTGATGGCTCAAGGCCACAGCTGTCCCTCAACTGAACAATAAAGCAGTAAGGCTCTGGGCTGGGCTCTCTGGTGAGCAGCATTCCTCTGCTGTTAAGCCTACGCTGCCTTTCTCAGGGCTGTTCTTAAGCAAGCTCTGTTTCTGAGACACACACACACATGCAAAGCAGCGGAGGAGACAGTAGCCTATAACCAAGCCTGATGCCCTCCCCACACCGCCTCTCAGCCTCCAGAGTCACCTCTGGTCAGTGACCATCTGCAACCCAAGCTCCTTCCAATCACAGGACAGCAGAGCTGCAGGCTCTCCTTTAACAGACAAGCACAAAGAAGTCCTGCGTGAACAGGGCTCAGAGAGGTAAGAGCCGTGACGGGCCTATCCTGGCACTACACTTGCCCGCAGCTTGAGCCTGGGGCATGCGACCCCGTTCACTAAGGCCATGGCTTGCTGCGTTTGACCCTTGAACCCCTGGGAGGGGGACATCGTTACCCTCACTCGATAGATGAAAACATGTGTGGATGTGTGGTTGAGAGAGCTGAAATAATGTCCCCAGGCAGCAGAAGTGGGACAAGAGGGGAACCCTGCTGTGTGACTCCAGAATCCTGGTTCCTTCTACCCTGCTCTATGTGATGTGCTCAAGGCTATGTGTGGGATGGCCAGGACTGGACCCAAGCCTGCTGACCACTGGTCAGTGCTTATTGCACCCCACCACCCCGGCCCCTCCCCAGACCTTATGAGCTTATGTGACCATGTAGAGGGAAAGGGTGACACACTCCCTCTCTGTAAGCTGAAGGAAGGAAAAGAAGTAAAAATCTAAATAACGTGTCAAGTCATCTCAAAGAGGTCAAGGTCACCTGCTCTCTGCAGTTTCCATGTCTACAGACAGCAGCGCAGGGGAACGGGAAGGGAAGAGGACAGACCAAGTACTACCTTTGCAGTGGCTACACTTCAGTGGGGTGTGGGGGTGGGGACACAGCTAAAGGCTAAGGACAAAGCTTGCTGAGCGCAGACAGAGGGGAGCTGTAGGGCACTCAGAGCAGAGCAAGCCCTCCTGCTCCCCCCATGAGACCTGAGGGTAAACAGGAAGGAGCTGGTCAAGTGAAGGAGGTGGGATAAAAGAGGAAGAGCTCTAGGCAGAGGGGAATGGCCTGAGTGCCTGCAGGTAGGAAAGAATGGAAAAGAGGAACAGAATAGCCAAAGCCTGGCATACAGGAAGGGGGAAGAGACATGGGGGCAGTCATTATAGTTCTTATAAAAAACCTGGACTTTAGAGGACAATGAGAACCATTCATGGTTTTTAGGCTGGGATGTGACATACTCAGATTTGATTTTAAAGATCATAGCTGAGAGAAGTGGCCTGGAGAAAAGGACTGGATATAGGGAAGCCTGTCCGAAGCAGAAGTTATCTGGCCAAGAGTTTATGGTGTAATGCTCAAAGATACAAATGATTATTGATGGGGAAAGGCTTTTAACAAATGAATAGAGTGAGAGGTTTTCCCTTTACTGTGCACTGTGATAGTTTTTCACATTCCCAGACCTTCTTAACTGCAGACTTGATCTCATCCCTCCCCTGTTTCAGGGAGGCCTGGGCATCCTGCCACCTCTATGTTATGCCTCTCCCCAACCCATCCCAACTGCCTGGTTTTTATGTCTTGTTTTCCATTGTGAACTTTATGTCTCTCCTGATTTTAGAGGGAGAAGCCCACCCTCCTTCTGTCCTCTGTAACTGTCTAATTTCATCATTAGAATGTATACTCTCTGAAGGCAAGAAGCTCTATCTTACCATTGCATCCCCAGCATTTAGCAGAGATCTGATACATAATAAATGTTTGGCAAATGGTTATGTTTGTTGAATGTATGCCCTTATTGGAAATGCAGAACTATCTGACCTGATCCACGTGTTTGAGAAGCCTTAGACTTACTGAGGTCAATGGTAAGAAATAACAATTTCCGCTGCCACCCAGTACAATTTCAACTTATGTATGTCACAGAAAATTGAAATACTTCACAACACAATATTTCCTCTAGTTTTAAAACATATATTCTATTATATTCACTTTTATATGGTCCTGACCCATTAAATTCATTTTATAATCTATTGTGTCATGGCTTGCTCATTTGAAAAGGCCTGCACTAATAAACGAACAAATACTTGAATATTTGAGGTCTTTCCCTGGGTAAACAATATCAACACCCTTCAACATACTAAGAACTAATTTACCATGGCCACTTTCCAGCTTCTCTCACCTTCTCCAAAACAAGACCCTAGGCCAGGCCTGGTCCCTGTCAACAACTGGAGGGTCACTTCCCAGCACCGGTACTTCCAGCCCCAGCTCGGCCCAGCTCCTGCCCTCTGTCAATCAGATGGGCTTTCCAAATGGTACAGGTCCACATCCACCTGATCTCTGTGGATCTGCTGCCTGCTCCAGGTTTAGAAGGGGCTCATTCATTTCTCACAAAAAGCATTTACTCTAGGGCGCAGTTTCCGGGTCCTTGTTCGTTTCTCACCCGTGTCTCTCTTGGGACCAACGAGTGCAGCAATAACACACAGAAACACACATGTACGCCATTCCTAGATTGACTATTTATCTTTGCTGATAGTATCCAGACCTAGGACCATATTTGTTGAGCTCACTTTGGGCCGTGGGATAGTAATAGTAAATGTCTCTGGGCACTAATAATCTTTGTCCAAATCGCTTGACCAATCCCAACTGCGAGGACGCCGGCCCGGAAATGAGTTGAAATCAGAGGGCTCAACACCTGTGCATTATGGCGCCCCCTGGTGGGGAGTACGGACCAGGCGTGGTCACCGACCCAGAGTTTCCCCTCCGCTCTGCCCACGCGCAGATACAGACGCATTGAGTCTCTCACTGGCACCTGCGTCGTCGCTATAATTACTTAAGGCCAATTCCCCGGGAGTGACATTTCACCCTGGTCCAGCCTACAACTTCCAGCAGGCAGTGTGCGAGCCAGGGACTCCATCTCCCGGCGGGCCTCATGCCCCCGGCCGGTCAATGACCTGCTCCCAGTAGGTTTGCCCCTTTTTACCTGACGGCCGAAAATGTCTGCAGACGGAGGGTTAGCAGCGGCCTGCCTGGAATAGGGCCGCTCCGAATCCCGACCCGAAATAAGTGCAGCAACATGATGGGGCGGGAGAACAAGAGCAACCGGCAACGGCAGCTCCACCCTTATCCCTTTGAGAGCTCCATGTTGGCTCCGGCCCCATCCCGACAAGCCCCTCGCGCCTCGGCGATGATTGGCGGACAGACACATCAATCTCGATGCAAGCTGTCATTGGAGAAGCCCTTGTCAGCCCTCCCAGGTTTGGGCGGGGCCGAGCAAACAGGCCCTGCCTTCCGCCCCTGTCCGGGTCGGATCCGGAGTGACGTTCTGCCGGCGCACACAGTGTGATCCTTACCCTGGGATATCCGTAGTAATGGGTCAGCCACTGACCTCGGGGCCATTCTCTTGAGGGTGTTCCCGGCCGACTCTAGATGTCCCGGAGTCCCCAGGGAGTGTAGAGGCCTGATTCTGGGGGAGGAAGGGACAAAAATCGGCTGGCGAGTTTTTTCAAAACAGGTGCACGTGCCTTGCCTTGCCACACACCCCGCCCACCCAGGCGGGTCAGACATCCGGAGAAAACTCTCCTGGGGATCCTAATACTCCCCTTACTTAGCCATTGAGAACTACTCTTTTTTTTGGTATCATTAATCTACAATTACATGAACATTATGTTTAGTAGGCTCCCCCCTTCACCAAGTCCCCCCCACAAGCCCCATTACAGTCACTGTCCATCAGCATAGTAAGATTACGTAGACTCACTACTTGTCTTCTCTGTGTTGCACAGCCCTCCCCGTGCGCCCCCCTACATTATACATGCTAATCGTAATGCCCCCTTTCTTTTTCCCCACCTTATCCCTCCCTTCCCACTCATCCTCCCCAGTCCCTTTCCCTTTGGTAACTGTTAGTCCATTCTTGGGTTCTGTGATTCTGCTGCTGTTTTGTGAGAACTACTCTTACGGAGGCCCTTATCAAGGCACACCTTCAGAACAATCTCCCCGAGGATACCTTCCTTACTGCGGTCAGTCCAACTTGCCTAAGGCTCCCACCATGCTGCTCTTGCACCTCTGAATAGCGCTTATGTCTTCCTGTTATATAACTGCGTAGCTGCTTCCACCACTGGGCTGTGACTTCTTTTTGGGTAGTGGCTCTGTCTCATTGATCTGTACCCCCATTCCTCTCCAAATGCCTGGAAGAAAACAATGCCCTTTATAGTAAATTGACTTCTATTGGTAGGGAGATTGTTAATTGATGGTTCTGGGGGGTAACTGGGTAGGAAAACGTGCCAGGATTAGCTTGAGTTGGGGCTGGGTGTAAAGGGAGGGTATGGGAGAGGTCCTAATGTGCATATGGTGGAATATCAGGGTGAACGAGGTAGGGGAGAGATCCTTTAAAACCCCACATAACCCATCTTGACAGATGCATCAAAGAAATAGTAAGAATTTCCTAGCCCTGATGCAAAGTGCAATTCCATTTTGATCACTAGGATGCCACCTCTAGAAGGGGCCTGAGCTTGAGCTACTATGACAATCCCCTCCCAGGAAGGAGGTACATAAGGAGAAAAACAGGCATATCTGGGTTCAGATTTTTGTGGGCACTTCCACTATTGCCTCCACATGCCTCCAGTGAACAATCTGGGAAGTACTCAGGTCCTCTGTCCATTTCATGGATACTGGCCCCTCCGTCAGCCCTCAGGCCTAAGCCCTCAGGCCCTGACACCTGGATGGCTGAGTCAGCCCCTAAGGAATGGGCTTCCCTAGGAAACCTTGTGATTCAGGGCCTGGAGAATGGCGTTGGACAAGCCGCCAAACCAGCTGCCTGGGCCACCTCCTCCTTGTTGAGGCGGCAACAAGGAACTCGACCCAGTCACCTCATCGCTGGTTACTCAGATTATCCTTCCAAATCCTGGACCCCAGCTTCCCACTGCCATTAAGCCCTGGTGTTTCTCAGGGGCCCCAGAAACTGGATCAGGAATTGGGGAAGGTTTCAGAAGATAAAGAGGTAAACATAATGGAACTTCCAAGAGCCCCTTTTTCTACTGTAAGCTCCAAAATCACTTCTCGCATTCAAGAAAGCTGGCTCTCCTTTCTTCACTTCCTTCTCCTCTCAGTTTCCCCCAACCTGGCTGCAAAGTCAGGCAATCTCCCTTTTTCCCTTCCTTAGTTCTTTCAGACAAAACATTCAGGCTTCCCTCCCTCCCTCCCTCCCTTCCTGTTTTTGGTTTTAAAGCAATTCTGTGTTGATCACTGTATGTTTGTGTGTAGGCAAGTGGGACCAAATTTTAGGGAATCAAAGATTTAACATCTTGGCCCTGTAGTCCTATATCCTTTGACCCTTTTCCTTGGCTTTTTTATTTTGGCTGCTACTCTCTGGCCTCCCCTTTAAATCCACTCTGAGGTCTGAAGATGGGGTAACAGGTGTCTGCTCTGGTGAGGTGCTTCCGCGCCTGCCTCTCCAGCTGACACCCCTCCCAGGCATGGAGGCGGGGCCCTGAGAGGTTTGGCCGCAGGTTGCCCTGGTAGGGGTATGAGTGGTCAGACAGGTGACTTGGAGGCTGGGACGCCAGAGGGCTGCTCCACCTGAGTCACTGTGCTGTTGTCACCGTCCTTGTTGAAGTTTGCTCAGCAACCCCGACCTCTGTGAAAACAGCGGCAGCTCCCATCCTTCCAAGCTTTCAGGAGAAGCGGAGGGCCTGATGGTGAGGCGAATGGGCTGGGGGGGGGGCAGGGGGCGGATGGGGCGGTGGGGAGATCTGGGGCCTGGATCAGTGCCCCTCCTCCCCACGCCCCTGCCTCCTCTTCCTCCTTCTCCACGACGAGGGCACGGGGGAGGGAGGGTCTCCTTCTCTCCATCCCCTTCCTCTCACACAAGAAGCTCACCGTCGTCGTCGTCAGTCTCTCCTGTGGCCCCGGGGCCCCTGTGCCCAGGGGCCTCTCAGACCCGCCACAGTGCCCTCCCCACCCCAGCCACCGCCCCCACACAGGCACTACCCTTGATGTCACCCATCTCTGCTCCCCCATCCTTGGGTTCCCACTCCACCCCACCCCTGGGCTCGGAGACTCCCCTGCCCTCCCGCCGATGCCCCCAGGATCCTCCTGGGCTGCGGATAGGCCCTCTGATCCCTGAGCAGGATTATGAGCAGCTGGAGGACTGTGACCCCGAGGGGTCCCAAGACTCACCTCTCCATGGGGAGGAGCAGCAGCCCCTCCTTCATGTGCCTGAAGGACTCCGAGGTGGGTGTGGGACTGTGGGGGAAGTGGGTTGGGGAAGGGGCTCCCTAGGGGCTCCCAAAGGCATGGAGAACTGGTCACTGAGGTGAGAGCCAATTTCCAATGCTCTCCCCTCTGTGCCCAGGCTCCTGGCACCACATCCAGAACCTGGACAGCTTCTTCACCAAGATATCCTTTGTGCTCAGCCTGGCAGCCATGGCATGGGAGGGCCCCTTGGGCTGGCACTGCCGTCCTTGGAAGGGAGGCCGTGAGGGCACAGCAGGTTTTGGTTTGTTGGGGGACTAGCGGGAGCGTCCTCAGGGAAGGCCCTTGTACCTTATTTCTTGACGCACCGCTACATCTACAGCTACCACCAGAGGAACGGCTTTGCCTGCATCTTCCTGGAGGACGTCTTCCAGCTCGGGTGAGATGCTGGCCCCAGACCCCAGGCTCTGTCCTCTTGCTTCTTCAGTCGTGCCTGCTGCTTCTAGTCTACCCAGGGCCTCCCCAAGCAGCCCAGGGGCTTGGCGGGGTGGGGAGGACACTGGGGCTGAGCTGGAGGTTGGGCAGGGGCCTATCTGCCCTCAAGCCCCATCACCACATCCCTTGCCCTCCCAGACAATTCGTTTTCATCATCACCTTCACAACCTTCCTCCTTCGCTGCGTGGATTACAACGTTCTCTTTGCCAACCAACCAAATAATGGGACAAGACGTGGGCTACTCCATAGTAAAGTGACCTTGTCAGATGTGATCCTACCCTCTTCCCAGTGTACCCAGCGGTGAGTGACAGCTGCTTGGGAGGAGGAGTAGGTGGGGGACATGAGCAGTCTAGAGCCCTCCTTTCATTCCTTGATCTAGATCAGCAGTTCTCAGGACACCGTTAATACATTTACAGTTGATTGAAAACCCCCAAAAGCTCTGCTTATGAAAATCATATCTATCCATGTTTACCTTGTTAGAGCTTAAAGCTGAGAACAGCGTTAAAACCTAACCTAAGAATGCATAAACACACGTTCCATCGGTATAGATGCACTGTCATGTGGCCTCTGGGAGCTCCACCCTAGAGACAATAAAAATGAAAACAGCAGGAAACCTTAAATTACCCGAAAAAAGTTTGACCTTGCAGACATCTGTAAGGGTCTCTGTAAACCCCAGGGCTCACACTTTGAGAACCACGGATCTAGCTGGCGTCCCTCTCTGTGACTTTCCCATCACTCCTCAAGTCCAACCTCCCTCTCTACCGGGACCCTCTCTGCGGCTTTCTGTCCTGCCCCACACAGGATCCGCTCCAGCTCCCTGTTGGTCTTCCTTCTGATCCTGGCTGCGGCCTTCTGGCTGTTCCAGCTGCTTCGCTCAGTCTGCAACCTCTTCAGCTACTGGGACATCCAGGTGTTTTACAGGGAGGCCCTGCACATCCCCCCGGTGAGCTGGGCAGGCATGTCTGTGGAGGGGTGCTGGGTCAGAGGCAGAGGGCAATGGGGGAGTGGGGGTTGTACAGATGGAAGGACCCACTGGAAAGTGGGCCATAGGCCTCCTTGACACCTGCCCTAGGCCTGAATAACATTGGGAGGTGGGGTACCACCACTTATAAAACCTGGTTCTCCTCCTAGTAAGAGCTTAGTTGGTTTAGATGAGAAGACGATTTATAGTCACGTGCTTGTGGTTACAACAATGGGTATTGAGGAAGGGAGGTTATCTGGCTTTACAAAACAGGAGGAATTTGGGGTGGGGTGGGAAAGGTGGTAGCTGCAGAGGTGTTCCAAGCCCTGATGCAGGAACAGGGAAGCAATGAGCATCTGTGGGCAGCAGTGATGAGATGGACCCATTAGTCTGCAGGTGGGTCCTGCCAGGCCCTGGTGGGTGACCCCATCCCCCCTTTCTGGCCTCACCTCTATTGCAGTAAGCCACCGTGTGGGCCCCTGCACTGTCCCTGGTCACGCTTTGCCCCTCTTTCCTCCCTGTCTTGCTC